TCGTAAATGACATGGTTTTGATCGGTACACACAGAAAACTAATCGAAATTATATAAATTCAATGTTTTGTAACTCCGGTTTTCAAGGTCTCTAGAGCATCTACAGTCAGCTTTAGAAATCTTTTTTGTTTTCATAAACGAAATTAAAATACAAAACCATGTCATTTACGAAATTTTCAACGGTTCTAGTAGAAAACTAACAATTTGGGAAGCCATCATATTGTGAGCCTGTCAGAGGCTAATCTATGGAAAACTTAAAATTCAATAACTCGGAAATGGAATGAGTTGTAAAGATGAAACTTTGTATGAATATCACAGATATACAGAAGAGCCATACAAAGAAATTTGAGCTCTTAACTACTTTTCTGGATGGAAATATGAATTTTTCTATTTTTCGCTGGGAAAAACAGAAAAATGTCTATAACTTTTGAAGGAAGAGCCGTCAGTCGATATCCTTTTAGGCTTTTTATAAGCTCGATACCCTCTATCGACTGATGTATGAGCGAACGAAATCGGAGGTATACATCTCCATAGGTTTCCTCGTAACCAAAGAGAATGTATTACCTGTATTCCACATGTTGTAGCTGACAAATCATATTTGAGTCCACCTAACTCAGCTGGATAAACAAATTCTGTTAATGAATCTTCAATTAATTCACTATAAATTGTATTCATATTGGCATGAACAGGATCAAAACCACCTAATGGACTAAAACAAGAAAAAAAAAACATTAATATTTAATATTAAAAAGTCTCATTGGTTCCCTTGTCTCACTTTCTTAGTTCAAAATACAGGAATGCTTTAGGTAATTTATAAAAATTATCTGGTGTAAACCATAAACGATAATATTCATTTTCCTAAATAAGTAAACAAAAATATTTTGTTTCAACAACAAAAGTAGAGAAAGAGATAAAATTTTACTTTAATTTTTTTGGGTAGTAATGGAGTAGATCGTTTTTGTTTTTGGTCTACATCATCCTAACGAAACAGAAAATATGAACGTACAATGACTAGTGTGATATTCACCGTATTCTTCTAAAGTTAATGGCATTCGGATTCGTGTCGGTTTAGAATTGAGTTATGCTTCCTTAAACCCATGGCTATATTTTTAGTAAAAATAAGACTTTTCTGCTATAATCAGCCATCTTTATCTCTTTGTCGTTCGCTGTACTTGTCAACAAAAAATTGTTATGTGAAAGAACGTGAATAACTGTGCAAGATACGCTGTTTTCTAATTTTTATTTAAATTTTCGTTTCTGAAAATACATCGAATGTCATGAATCCACAGAATTGTGCAAACTTATAGACTCATCTGTTCAAACCCCGGTGTTTGATCATTCTCGGCCACTGTATACTCTTGTGCAAAGAAAAATCTTGATGACTACATACATTCGCGTATGCTCTATCCGCATATGAAATCAGATTTGCTCTATACGACTTTCAAGTTCGAGAAAACAAATGTTTATTAAAACACGTCGTTTTTTGCCTGTTCACAATTCTAGACTCGATATCGTATTTTCGTTATTTTTGTACTAGAGCGACGTTAGTTTGGCTCAAAAGTTACATAGATGGATAGAGGAGTTGTTTCTGAAAATTTTCATAAACGAGACTTTAAAAAACGATCTTCATTTGGAGTTCTTATTAGATTTTATTGAACAAGCCAAAATGGTCTGAAAACATCATCCAAGTTCAGTATTTTAGCTACCAAGTTTGAAATAGAGACTGGACTTCGTTTTTAACAACGAATTCAAATAGACGACACTTTTTCCTTCAAAATCAGATGTTTGCGAGCTCCGCACGTCATTTCGTTATAGAGAAACATATGTGTCAAAACAAATACCACTTTTTTGCAGTAAACAAGCACAGAAAGTTTGAACAGGTGAGTCTATAATTTTGCACACTACTATAAAACTATTCTCCTTTGTTTCAGCAGAATTTTCTCTTGTCAAAATAGGACTACTCTCAATTTTATATGTTCACCGATTTGATCGGGATAAACGTTGTTCAGTTTCATTGTTTTTTAAAAATAGTTCCTTAAAACAAGGCTATCTAGTATTTTACTTATAAGTTTGAAACCAAATAACCTACAGCTCTTTACCATGCCTCGTTTTGAAAAGAAAATATTGCTCTACTAAATAAGAATAGTTTTAGCATTTTAGTGTTATGAAGATATATGAAGAAATCAACGTCATTTTTTAAAACTATATTAAATTTTAATTCTTGTAGACAGACTGACTGTAGCTTAGTTTGTTCAGTTTTCTTGTTCTTTCGAATGTAATATGAAAAATAGTGTATGTGCCTATGTACTTATCTTTTTCGCTCATGATTAGGAAAAAATCACAAATACTTACTGATTCATAGTGTAATTGAAAATCTGTTGGAATAAAATCGTTTGGTGGTGGCACAAGAAGTTCATCGTCTAATTGACAATTTTCACATCTCTACAGGAAATAGTATATCAATCAATAAAATAAATGAAATGATAAATTCATACGTACTTTTATCAAATCTTCTGGTAAATATTCTTCTTTATAAGAAGTACCAAACCATTTTTCTTTTTCAGTTGCCACTGACGAAAAATTTTTCCCCACCAAAAAAATTCTAAACAAGACAATACGGTAATTAAGTATTCAAGTAAAACTAGAGAAAAAATGTGAGTCAGACAAAAGAAAGTCGTATTGAAACTTATTAATCAGTGTGATGTCAGAATAAACACACAGATGAAAAAAAATTACCTCATTTTGCTTGGTAAAAGATAAGTGTTTAACAAATCATTAATTAGATCTGGACGAAATTCACGCATTTCATATTCGCCACTCAAACATTCTGTCAATGGATAATCCTAAAAAGGTAAGAAAATAATTTTTTATTATTAATATCAAAGAGTATAGTAGAATGCACACACCCTCATTCGATTAGCTAAATTTGATACAAATTCTTCTGGTCGTTCTTTTTCACGAAATTGAAAATGCATTTCATTTAAATTCTAAAGACAATAAGAAAGAATAAAAAAAAAACATATCTAAAGTAATATTAAATACATACTTTACATTCTTGAAATATCCATTCTTTTGGTCCTTCTTTTTTCAACATAGCAATATATTGATATATATATACAACAATCTCTTGCCAACGTTCTATAAGGTGTAAATAAACATTGACAATAATTTCCACTATTATGAGTAGGGAGTGGACCATTACCCGTTACCGTTAATAGTAAAGGGTAACGATTTGAGGATTACCGTTACCGATAACGGGTAACGGTTTGACTGTATTTTATTATCAAACACAGTGGACAAATTTGACTTGGCACGCGGACATGTACTAGAAAATTAGTACGTCTAAACGCTCTTGTTAGAGGTTTAATCTTTCTGTTTATTGCTAGACAAGAAGTATCTAATGATATTCTGTCTACAAAAATTATAATTATAATTAATAAATTATAATTTTATATGACAGGAGTGAACAAATTTTCATGAGAGAAGATTCCTAACGACGTAAGTGAAAAGAAAGAAAAACACATATCCATACACAGAAGGGTTTCGGGTGAAGATTAAACAGGAGTTAGATACACACATAAATTCTCAAGTGACAAATCACTTTTTATATTAAAGATATGGAGACATATGTAATCAATGGTACCGATTCAAAATATGGTTATCGAAACTGTTCTCAAATTTTCCAAAATTGGTTTCTGTAAAACTATCTCTCTCAATGAAAAACACTTGAGTTCAAAAACAATTTTTAATCTTGCCAGTTTGGAAAGCGCATTGAATTATCTATCTCTACAAATTATTTTGTCTATTAGACATAGTCTAACAATTCAACATAAAGAGTCGTAAATAATTCAATTTTTGATTCAGCAGAGTGACCAAAGGTAAGAAAAGTCGAGAATATTGGAAACGATATAGAGATCAATGTAAATATAAATTGTTTGAGACACAGGATAAAGTCCTATTGTCTATTCTAACGTATCTAAACCCGCTTTCAGATAACTTTTTCTGCTATTTTATTGATAATTATTATTATTTGTAATACAATATATTATATATACGATATATTCGCTATGATTGTTTAGAATTCGATTTAAATTGTTTACAACTGACAGACTATGTTCGATAATCGAAAGAATTTATAGACATAGACAACTCGACGTGTCTTACAACTTGGTAAGATAAAAGATTGATTTTGAACTAAAGCGGTTTTCATTTTCGAATCTTCCCTCGTCACCTTCCATAAGCTACACTTACCTAGACCATCAATTGTTAATTCGATATCTACCGTAAAAAAGCTATAACCATTTGCATTATTCTTTTCACCAGACACTAATTCTGATGCCAAACCACGTTTTTTCAATAACGATAATAAACTACCTTCTCCTTCATGACCAATCAAATGGCTTAAATAAGATTCGGGCTAAAAGTAAAACAAAAGAAAGAAATCAACAGTCAAATAATATAAATAAAAAACAATGTAAAAATGTCGATATTGATAGTACGTCGATATGAAGCTTATTAGTGTATAGCTATTCTCCTACGATCACAGTTAGACGTGAGAATCGTCGATATCGACGGCGGTAGAGTCGTTTCTAAGGAAAATAGTGCATATTTTGACGATAGAGAAAAAGCGAGTAAAGAAAATCATAAAACACTTACATTTGCATAATAAACTTCTTTATAATCTGGTACAACCCATGTCACAGTTATATGACGATATTCTTTAACTGGTATAACATAACAGATTGTCTAAATTAAAAAAAGAAATTATTTAATAGAACAACAGAAAGAAAAAAAATATTCTCGCTTTACTTTTCGTTTACTTTCGCCATATGGATCATTTGGATACTTTGTCAATGATAAATTTTGATTAGGAATATCTTTGTAAATCTTAACAACTAAATCTTGTAATTCATCTAATGATTCTACAAATACAAAGAAAGTCTTAATTTATGTATTCATGTGTCTACAGAAAAACAAAAACCAATTACGTACGATTTCCTAATATGGCTAAACTCATTCTATTTGATGAATATTCTGCTCGATGAAAATCTAATAATGTATTTCGTACATCAATACCAAGTTGTTTTGGAACAGTTTTCAATGAGAGCATATTTCCTACAATGAAATAAATAAATAGATCTCTTCTTAAGTTATAAAACTAGAAATATATACCAATGGAAAATTTTGAATATGGATGATTTGGATCTGATGTTGATTTTTCTAACTGACTAATTCTCCATGTATCTTTAAATAAATTTCCTTCATACTCCGAATGTACGGCACACATTTCACGATCTGTTGATTCGGAACTGAATAATGGAGAAATAAAAAATTGAGCAAAACTAGAATAAAAAAATATCAATTAGCAAAGTAAAGTAAATTTTTAAAACTGTCAACTAATTACATATCGAGTGCTTCCGGTAACATATTTGGATTAACATCAAAAAAATAATTAGTATGATCAGCTGATGTATAAGCATTAGAATAACCACCATTGCCTTCAATTAATTTACTATATTCATTTTCACCAGGATACTAAACAATAACATAATTATAGGGAAAAATTCAAGAATAATAGTTTAGTATCAGAAAAGTATAGATAATCATGAAAAAAGTTCAACATTTTTTTATGTGAGAACAGGAACGAGAGAGAAATTTTTCGTGTTACAAATAAAATAGATACCTTTTTACTACCCATAAAGAGCATATGTTCACAAAAATGTGCGATACCTGGTACATTATTCGGATCGGCTAAACTTCCTAAACGATAAAAAGTAAATATGAGAGAGAGAGAGGTGTATTTGAGAAATGTATTTCAACGTGACATACCAACAAAAACATCTAATGCCGCTGCAGCTTTATCAAGATTTTTATGACTTATTAGAACAACTAACAGACCATTTGCTAATTCCAGACCACGATATTCCCAAGTATCGGAATTACTCTTTTTTATATTATCAACCGTACGGACAATATCCGACACTGGCGGCATTATCTATAAAAGCATATAGGAAATAATGACTCGTGTATTGATATGTTAAAGAAAAATAAAGATCTGTTCATTGCAAAGGAACATTAGTGTCGTACTCAGTAGGTTCGAGTCACATACAGAAGAAAAAAACAGCAAAGATTAACAGCGGCGTAACCAGGATTTTTAGTACAATGGGCAAACTTCTATTGTAGCGGAAAAAAACGATGGGCAAAATGGGCAAGGTTTTTGTCGATGGGCCAAAAGATTTTTGGTCCAAAAAGAACA